GTCATAAGCATGTCAAGGAGGTGGCCTGAGTTTTGAACACAAGCTAATGGCTTCAATGGAAGTGTCCTGAAGTAATTCACCAACACCAATGATTTACTTTTATCATTCATAGCTGATGACTCTGCGCGATTAGGGCAATTTCCTTTTTCCATTCCTCCATCCCCATCTGCACATTCCACAATAGTTGTGTCGAGAATTTTTAACATATTATTTGTGTACACTCACAGTTTGAGGGGTAAAATCGACTCATTTTTTCGTGAGGCACTTACATTGATTTTCGACCATGTAATTCCATTGGTAAGCAATCCCTTCACTCTGTTCTTTGGATTTGACGGAAGTAAAAACAATTAGTCTTTGGTTATTAGTTACCATGTCACTCACAAGTGGCCAATCTTGACCACCTTTAGGCATTTTTGCCACAGGAAACCAATATTTCATTAGTCCTGCATCTGTAAACACTTTGGTCAAACCATTTGGAGTCTCTACATAATCTTCCAATATCAATGTCACAATTTCTGATGGATTTGCTGATAAAAACCCTTCAATTTCCTTCAATGTGTCAATTGCTGGTTCCTACTAGGCCAAATTTCGAGACATATAAATATAAGTATAAATTATAGGAACCACATATTATAAGTACTAAATAACATCTTATCCCTTCTAGTTTTCTATTTACCAAAAATCCCTTAAAAATGATGTTTGCGGGATACATAGCGTTGTGCACGGGATACATTAGGTTTGATACATTCCACATAGCGGGATACATAGCGTTGTGCACGGGATACATGCGGGATATATAAAGTTGTGCACGGGATACATAGCGTTTGATACATTCCACATAGCGGGATACATAACGTTGTGCACGGGATACATAGGTAAAATAAGGGATTTTTGAATTTTTTGAAATAAGTAGGGATAAATGGATATTAAGGTAATTAAAGAAGTATAGTTAAGTAATTTGTCCTAAATATAATCGATTGATGTAAATATGACTAATAAAATAAAATAGAACTTACAAATGCCGTATAGTCATGACATTGGCCTCCGAATGAGTGACACAACCATATAGCCCCGTCGAAATCATAAGTATCAAGCATTAAACCCCGAACACCATTCTGAAACATTAACACGTAAAAGACATAATTAAGTAAATAAAAGTTAAAACGAGCATTTAAAGCAGCTAAAAACAATATTTAATTCAATCAATTTTGAGTTAATTAGATGAAATGACATACATTGAGTTGTTGAGTAATATTATCTTCTTGATTGGTGGGAGTTACTCTGGGTATCCCAGTATGTGATGGCTCTCCCTCAATTGCAAAAGCATTATGGGTCGTCAAAAATGCATACTTGTTGAATGGCAAAGAACTATTCTGTAAGCCCACATAAAATAAAACATAAGCCCAAATATAATTCATTAGCCCAGTTACAATAAAAGCCCAATTATACATACGTACCACTAACTTAAACGGATCAGTGCCAGTTGACCGAACACATCTGTTGCCTTGAAAAGATAGGGTACAAGATAAACAATAAAGCCCAGGCCCACAATCTGCGTCTGATGAGCATTTATCATCCAGCTGAATAAAATTAAATTTTGAATTCGTAAATGAATTAATTTGAATCAGAAGTTGAAAAAAAAAAAAATGAAACAGAAGCAGCAGCCTATGAGTACGATCGACCACACTCGCTCTTCAATTGAAATTAGAACACATACACAAATGCATATAAATAAAATTAATCAATGTTTTAATCGTACCGACTCTAAATTTTGAATTTATAACATGAGAAATCGTACCTTGCATGTTCCATTAGAGCAATCGGCGGCGGCAACAACGAAGAGTACGGAGAAAATGAGAAATAAAGAAGAAATGTTTTGGTGAGGACCCATAATTATGGAGAAGAAAACAGAGGAGAGTGGTGAGAAAGACTTTTTATTATTATTATTAGAAGAAAAAAATGAAAGAAGAAAGGGTATATAAAGAAAACTAAAAAATCTGTAAGTTTGTTTTGAGAATTGGCTGAGATAACAAAGCCATAATTGTGGAGAAAGAAACTGACAGAAGAAAAAGCATAGGGATATACTCTCTATATTATGATGGTGAAATGTGATAATGAAAATGAGAGACTTTTCATGTTGTTTATGTAACGCCACGGAGATTTTAATTAATTACTTTTGAGTTTTGGGTTGAAAAAATTATGGGAAAATAATCTCCAAAGATTTATTATCATGTTACATTTTTCGAAAGTCAATTTGACTAATTTTTAAAGTTAAATTAGATTATATTAATTTGATATTTTAAACAAAAAAATTCTATATTCAAAAACTATACGAAAAGTATTATAAATTACAATTTTTTGCATATCAATATGATGAAAAATACACCGTAAAATGTTAGTCAAAATTCTTATAGTTTGACTCTAAAAAGGACATCATGACAATTAAAAGTGGACTGAGGGAGTAGATAAACAGGCATATTAGTTTTAGATTAATTTAATATTTAAAAATTTAAATTTAACTATTATATGAAAAAATCTATAAGTTACAATTATTCTCATTTTAATATTGTTAAAATGTCGGTCAAAATTAATACAAACATGACAAGTAATTTGAAAGGGAGGAAATAGTGTGATTAGTGAGACCGCCGTGACTCTAGGCTCGTTTGTTCAGCAACTCATCCTAACTTATTAGTTTTAATAATAGTAATATTTAATTTAAGATGATGAGGAAGAGGAACCTTATTAACAATTAAGTACATTAAAATTGGTCACTTTCATCTGTGCTTTCAACTAGTAGCAATATCAATTTATTTAGTCTGGTTGAGAAAAGAAATACTTAACGTCTGTTATTTCAGACTAAATTATTTCTTATTTAAGATGCAATGATAAATACATTTCTCTGGCATGAAATCAATTGAGGAAAATAATAGGGAGAGACTTGGGACAAATCCATTAGTGATACAAATTATTGGTTAAGCATAAAAATCTTACTAATTACAGGTAGAATAAATAAATTGAAGACCGCTAATTTTAGCATCCATTGTTTTGGCACTACTCATTGTTCAAGGAGGAAAAAAATATTCACGTGGAGTGTTTATATTATTCCAATGAATCTGTAACGTTTGTTATTTACATACACTCTTATAATTTAATTATAATTAATTAAAAATATAATTTTTATCTTAATTCATCATGTACCTATGAAAATCTAATTTAATGTGAACACGTCATGCCTATTATTATTGTTTTCCTTGTTCAAAGTCTTGCCTACTAACAATGAATGTATCACATATTAATTAGTTGTTGAAAATATGTATACATAGTACATTAAAGGCATGATGGACCGCCCATTCATTCATTTTGGACTTTTCTTTTATCCTTGTTTTCATTTTACCAAATTTTAATAGTGACAACTCATATTTTAGCTTGATAGAATTAAATTTTGTGATAGCAGTTTAATTTAGTGGTGTGCACTATTCGAATTAAACCGAATAATCAAATCAAATCGAACCAAATTTTTATTTGGATTGGTTTTTTGGATTGGTTTTGGATTAATAAATTACTTTGTTTAGTTTTTTGGTTTGGTTTCGTCTTTTAAAAAATAAAAACCAAAAAACCAAAAAACCAAGAAAATCCGAATCATATATATATATAATGTTTAGGTTTAGAAATAAGTTGAAGTTAACCACTTTTGTCCCTTTTTGGTTATTGTCTTTCATGACGATTACGTTTATATTTTATGTTTGAATTACATCTATAATAGGTATACTTATAAGTATTGTGTTTTAAGTTGACTTATGATTTATATTAGAAAGTATATTTAAGGGATTAAATATTATTACTTTGGTTATGTTATTAATTATTGACCAAACCCAAAAAAGCCGAACCAAATAGGGGAAAACCAAACCAAACCAAATTTATTTTGGATCGAATTAGGTTACACTTTTACAAAATCAAAAATAGAAAAATCCAAACCAAAAATGCACACCCCTAGTTCAATCAATGATAGCAGAGTAGACTCTTCAAATTACCCCCCCCCCCCCCCCCCCCCAAAAAAAAAAAAAAAAAAAAACCCCAATTTCTTTTTTTTATATAAAATAATATAAATCACGTAAACATGGTGATTATCTGTAATAATAGCATATAATTTAATCAAATCTACTAAATTATATTTGCTGGAAATAATGTACAAAAGTAGATGCAATTGCGGTCTTTCTTGCAATACTGGATGGGCCTGGCGCACCCCAAGAATTTATAGGCCCAATGCTGATTTAGAGATGGAATTGCTTTGTCAATTAAGCGTTTGTTCGACATTTGATGGAAATTGAAAAAAATATATTTGAAAGTTAAAATTAGCATTGCAAATACTAATTTCAAGTATAGAGAAATTTACAGATGTTAAACTCAGATTCCCTCCATTTTATTTTTATAAAAATATTTGATTGGACACAAAAAAAATTAAAAGGAAAATTACTTGTGGAACTTGTTATAATCTTAAAATTCCAATAAAATTTATATTGCCAACAAATTATGTCGTTGAAGATAAGATAAAAAGTTTTTTTTTTAAAATTAAATTATTATTAAAATATAAGAAGATGACACCTTCACGCGTTCATTTTTAACACATAATTGATTTTTATAAATCATCTTTCTATAATTTATTTATTTTTAAAAAATATTCATTTTATCTTTAACCCCATGATTTGTTGGTTGGCCACATAAATCTTATAAATTTTTAGAAGTATAAAATAGAACAGAGAGAGTACCATTTATGGCCAAAAGGGTAAGTCAATAGGAAAGGGGAAAAAAGGATACATTCCTCGTAGAAACACTGAAATTACTTGGATCATTATAACTTCATATATACCAAACGAAAATACAATAAAAAGGAACAAGGACCATCACATGACTGATGAATAGATTTCAATACAAATATTAGACATTGACTTTAAAAAAAAATACTACGAGAAATATTTGGTTATTGAATTGAGATATGATTATTAGTTGTTGTCGTGATCAGAGAAAAAACGGTTGATAGAAGGCATGACTTGTGGTGGACGAGTGCGTAGGAAGTTTCGAAGGCTGTGTTTTGCATACTTCTCTCCTTCTTCTTCATTTTCAAGTACTCCCATGCTTCTATGTGCCTTATTGATCCTACAATTTTTATATACTAAATTAATATTAATAATGACTCAACACACTTAATTGACATGATCATGAGATTTGTTCTTTTTTTTTTAATATACCTGACATCAGGATTTAAGAGAACATTCCTTGTTAGCTGAAAAACACACATCCCCGTTACAAATGTCATGGCCGCCATTAGTGGATATACCTGCATCGCAATTGATTCAATAACAAAGGCTGAATTCATCAAATTTAAATCTCGAATTACCTTGTATTATGTACAATTAAGGAGGGATTTAGTTGAGTATTACCTCGGGTCTAATCCAACGCCCCATTTAGCGTAATGTTATGTCCTTTTATCAACTGGTTGGGTACCTAGACCTTTTTTTGTAAAAGAAAGAGCTAATAAGTGCTTGTATATGTAGATTATATATACGTTGAAGGTAGATGGGGTGTACGTTTGTCTCCTGTATTTCATTCGTTTATATAGCACTCCGATCCCTCAAATTACGTTTCTATAGCATTGGAAAGCATGGATTAATTATGGATGTTTCCACCAATCCACATATGACAAGTTGAAGGTGAGGGCTTAATTAATTACTCCCTCCGTTTCATATTATTTTACCCTTGTTGCCTGATATTTTTTGAGGAGTTTTAATTAGAGGTGTATTTTATTAACCTAATTTTTTTAATAATGTTTTGAAATTCTAAATTTAACTACTATAACTATATATAGTTATTTAATATTAAGAATATTTTTTAAAAAAAATAATAAATCTCTTAATTTACTAAAATGAACAAGTAAATTAAAATAACATATTGGCCAAGTAAAATGATAGGAAGGGAATACACATTTTTCAGTGGGCTGGCTGATAAGCAACAAGTTTTCTCTTGGAAAGCAATAAAACCAGGTGCGCCTATAGCTTCTAGTTTTGAAGTTGACCTGCTAATTTAGCCATTTCTTGTTCCACAAGCCTCTCGACGACGATAATTCTAGGATTAAAAAATTGCAAGTACTCCCTTTGTCTAATACTAATATTTATCAACTATTGACTATACACATTTTTTAAGAAACTATAAATAAAAGGATAATTTTACTATATTACCTTTTGAATATTATTCATTGATTTCATAAAGTGGACAAGTATTGTTGGACATCTCAAAATAATACCGTAGACAACTATTATTGGACGGGGAGTATTTTTTTTATTTTTTTTTGGTTCATAAACTAGAAAGACTGCCGGTCCAAATCGATTTCGGAGACCATGAAACATAGCAATAATTTCATTGAAATTAGAGAAAATCTACGGGTACTGCATCCAAACAAGGGAATTTGATTTTTTATCTATATTTTGACTTTCATATGTGTACAATGCTACATTTATCTAATAAATATATTCCCACCTATTTGTTTCGGATATATCTCTATTAAAGTGAGTCAAATTGACCGTGAGGGGTCATATTGGAATATTTAAACTGGGATGAAATCAATCGTTACGAAATTGTGTACTCAATAACTCCTTCCTTTGTGAATTTTGGATTGTTCTTATCTAGATTTAGTTAGATGAGTAAGAACCATTCATTAATATCCCTTCACCTGATCCTATTTAAATAATAATAATAATAAAAAAACAGCATGAATAAGACGATAAATTGTGAGAAATTTTCTCTTCTACTTTTATTTAATTTTAGACTAAATTACAGAATAAATCCTTCATTTGAGTTGTTTTGAACATCATTTAGATACCAGCCCCATTAGAATTGTCTTCAATCCAAACCAATCTTTTTGGGCCGAAAAGGGTGCATGGTAAGTTAAACAAACCCAAATATGGCCCAGTAATATCATGATTCATGAGGCCTCCTTCACCTAAGAGAACATCACCAGACCACGCCTAGTCGACTTTTGAATTATGGAGAAAATTCAGAAAAAAGAGAACTTACGAATATTTAATAATAAAATTTCTGTTTCATTATATTTTATTTGTGATTGTAATTAATTTGTTTTTTACTACTTATAAATTTGTTGCAAACTGTTGGATTTATTAAAGACTCATCGATGAAGAAGCTCGAGGATGATGATTTTGTGGCAAAGAAGAATTAAAAAGGTTAAAAGGGACTATGTTTTTAGACGACACAAAGTTTACTAACATAGTAGAATCACACCAGCTTTTTTTTTTTTTTTTTTTTTAAGTTTTAGTTTTGTTTTTCCATCTGGAAATTACAGATTCCTTATTTTTATTTTTACTTCCATGTAAATAGTAGTTTGTTATTTAAGGTAACTAACAATTAGGAGATAGTTGGGTAGTTTGTGATTCTTTTCACTTTTACTTCATGTAACTACAAATATGTTGTTTAAGGTAGCTAGTATATATGACTAGTATGTTGTTTAAGGTTGCTAATATATAGGATAGTTGGGTAGTTTATTATTTCAAGTTTTGCTATATATACATGTGTTAAACAAAGGGATAAATACATGAAACATTCAGCACATCTCTTTTTATATATTTTTGCAATCTTTCACAAACAATCTATTTATCTATAAAACATTTTGAAAACAATGATTTATATTTTGATCAAATGTATTTAGTAATCTATGTATAAAATGGAGTAACAGTAGAATATAACCCATGACGGAGCTTTACATCATTACTTCAAGTTATGGTGAAAGTGAGTGTGTGTTTTTTTACAGAGAAAGAGGGAATATGCATGAGGGAGACAATGATGGTTTGTTGAGTTGAGTATGATATAAGCATTACGTTGATATCAACAGTCCCTTGCAACTCACTGAACACGCCAAACCACATGCAAACTCGTATATATTCCGTAACTGGACTCCGAAGGACCTTACCTACATATTCGTTTGTGTCTTTATTTCATTTTTTGGCTCTTCTCTTTTTCTTTATTACTCATTTGATAGAACTATAATAAGAATTCATCTTTTTTTGCGCTAGGGTGTGTGACGATTGAGGTTTGCTCAAGTCGTTCAGCATTTGCACCATCAATCAGTTGGTTGAGAGTCTCAGTCACACTTAGGGTGGCAAAATGGATAAATAATATGGGTATCCGCTCATATTTACCCATTTTAAATGGGTAAAAAACGAATAATACTCATATTATCCATTTAAAAGTGGATAGTTAAATGGATAAAATGGGTAAAAATATGCATTCACACAAACAAACAAAAAAAGTGATAAAGGGTTGGATAATAAGAAAGTCTTTTTTTTTAAAAAAAAAAATCTATAAAAAAAAAGAAACTTTTTTTTACTTTTTTTTGGGATAGGGGGTGGAGGATGGTAGTGGGTGGGTGGGGGGGGGCTGGTAGGGGTGGGTTGGTAATTTTTTTAATTTTTTTTTGGATGGGGTATGGAGGGGGGGGGGGGAAGTAGGGGGTAGGGGTGTGGGGGGGCTGGTAGGGGAGTGGGGTGGTAGTTTTTTTAATTTTTATTTTTTTTTAAATTTTAATGAAAAAAATTGATTTTTTTTTGGATGGGGTGTGGAGAGGAGGGGCTGGTAGGGGGGTGGGGGTGGTAATTTTTTTTTAAAAAAATTTAATGAAAAAATTTAAAATTTTCTTAATCTTTTTTGGGATGGGGTGGGGTGGGGGTCTGGTAGGGGTGGGGTGGTAATTTTTTGAAATTTTGTTTTGTTGGCTTATATATACACGTTTATACTTTAATTTTTCGAACCCCCTGAACGAAAATCCTGGGTCCGCCACTGGATGCAGTGGATGAATCATTGGAATTTGGAAAGTAAAGAGATTTTAGGAACATAACTTAGTTATTCTATATACGTCTTGTATAGGAAGGGGACGTTCTACTTGTTACAATGTCGTCCCTACCAAAACTTTGCCCTTTCTTTCCTTGAGGTAAACTCTTGCAAGGTGTTACGACTTTTTCACTTTCTAATTCTGACTCACCACGTGATCTATATAAATATTTCAAAGTTCTCAATATTTTATTACATCATCAAAATTGAAAATACGCCCTCCGATTCACTTATATTTATCATCACGTTTCAATTTACGAGAATTAATATTTTGAAGTAACATTGAATTTGATTAGTTATATATATATATATATATATATATATATATATATATATATATATATATATATATATAATTTTGATATTTAAAAACTATACAAAAAGTATTATAAGTTGCAATCCTTCTCATATTAATAGAATGAAAATACTCTCGTGAACTCTAACATGACAAGTAAATGTGAACGGAGTGAGTAATTATAAGTCAAAAAACTTCGATTCGCTTCTTAAATAAAAAAGGTCATCTTTTCTTAGCAGGAAAATCACCGTTAGAATGTTACAATCACGTATCAAGGAAATATATTAGTTCATTAAAAAAAGAAAAAGAAAAAAACAAAGAGCTTGATGTATACATATGACATATCACTGACCAAATTAAATCCTTGCTTCAAGATTCAGAAAGTACTCCAGCAGCAATATAAATATTAGAGCTAAATCAACAAACAAAATAAAATGTAACAATCAGACTACACATCTTCTCCCTCCTCTTGCTACCAACAGCCAGTTGGTACATAAAGAAATTACACATGCTATACGACTCATATATATAATTCCAAGTATACTACATATTATACGAGTCATTTTTTTTTGTTTTTGACGAAAAAAATGAGAGGTTTGATTGGTGTTGCTGGCTTCTTCTTAATTGCTCTCATTCCTCATGCAGGTGTTTTAATATCCACACTACTCAATTTGTACTCATTTTCCTTTCTGCTTCTTTTCCCCTTTAAACATAACATTTGTTACGTACATTGATGCAGTTGCATTTGATCCGTTGGATCCCAATGGGAATATCACCATCAAATGGGATGTTATGTCTTGGACACCAGATGGCTATGTCGTAAGCGACTTCATTTACATATATTGATCGTGTAAATTATTGCATTTTAACATGTTGTAGACGCATGTGTTATAATTACATGTTCTTTTTTTCAACATTCTAATTCCATGTTGCTCTAACATGAAGATTGTGTAAAAATAATTTTTATATATTGTCAGTGTATATATAAGTTATAAATCTTTTGTTTTCTCTTAGTTTTTGCAAGTGGTTAAATTCCTAGCTAGATGGTCATTTTTACACATTATTGGGGAAATCGATACTTGTAGGCTACTGTAACGATGAACAATTTCCAAATGTATCGGCATATCATGACCCCTGGTTGGACCCTAGGATGGACATGGGCTAAGAAAGAAGTGATCTGGTCTATGGTGGGTGCACAAACCACTGAACAAGGCGACTGCTCTAAATTCAAAGGCAACATTCCTCATTGCTGCAAGAAGAATCCCACAGTAGTAGATTTGCTCCCTGGAACTCCTTATAACCAGCAATTCACCAATTGCTGCAAAGGTGGTGTCTTGGCTTCTTGGGGCCAAGATCCTCAATCTTCTGTCTCTGCATTTCAAGTTAGCGTGGGCCAAGCCGGTACCACGAATAAGACCGTTAAACTTCCTAAGAACTTCACTTTGCTTGGTCCTGGACCTGGATATACTTGTGGCCCTGCTAAGATTGTTCCACCTACCAAATTTTTCACACCTGATCTTCGACGCAAAACTCAGGCCTTAAGTAAGTCACGTTCCTCAAGTTAATTTTCACTTATGGTCATTGATATTTATGCACTAATCACTGATCCTCTTTTGCAGTGACATGGAATGTAACATGCACATACTCCCAATTTCTAGCACGAAAACACCCGAGTTGTTGTGTTTCCATGTCAAATTTCTATAATGAAACCATCACTACTTGTCCTTCTTGTGCTTGTGGTTGTGAGAACAGAAACAAATGTATCAAGTAAGTCTCTAGCTACTTACAGACATAAATTTCCAGAGCACAAAGATTGGATTTCATATATAGTAGTACTTAACTTCTTATGACAAATGTATAGGAGCGACTCCAAACTACTGAGTGTGGTTGGGGTAAACACTCCAAGAAAAGACAATGCACCGTTAATACAGTGTACGCACCATATGTGCCCAATTCGAGTGCATTGGCATGTGAAGCTCAACTACAAGGACTATTGGCGAGTCAAGCTTACTGTAACCAACTTCAATTACAGGATCAATTACACACAATGGACTCTTGTTGTTCAGCATCCAAATCTTAATAATGTTACACAAGTTTTTAGCTTTGATTACAAGCCTCTCGTTCCCTATCAATCCGTCAGTAAGTCCTTAATCTCTCTTAAGAATAGCCCATTCGCTATCTCTAAACAAGATCATGATATGGGCAAACATATTGATCATGTGCCAATCTAAAATTCATATGCAGATGACACTGGAATGTTCTATGGTATGAAGTTCTACAATGACTTACTGATGGAAGCAGGGCCATCTGGGACTGTCCAATCAGAAGTGCTCCTCCAGAAGGACAAGGAAACATTCTCCTTCAAGCAAGGATGGGCATTTCCTCGGAAAGTCTACTTCAATGGCGACGAATGTATGCTGCCACCACCAGATACTTATCCCTACTTACCCAACTCTGCCCATCGTAGCCCTGCTGCCTTCGCAACATTGTTATTTTCCCTGCCTTTCCTTTTTACTATACTCTTTTGATCTTTTCTCTAGTTTTGTCAGTCATTGAAAATTTTGAAGTTAAGCAACCACAAGTTCCGTAGGATGTTGGGATCACAGAATTAAATTCTTTGAAAGGACAAATCCGGTGTGTGCATAGGAATATCACACTGAACTCCACAGGGTCATTATAGGCATTGATAAATAAAAACTTCATTCATGTCATGAAACGCTCACAGAATAATGTACATTGCTAGCTCAAGGAAGACAAAGTTTATAGAATATAGCATTCACACAATAATGTTTAATTGAATACTGGAAAAAGATATGTACCTCAGCTGAGATATACAGCAAAATCGCACCACCGTAGATCGGACAAAATGCAACTCCTGCTGCAAAGTATCTTTTTTACAATGTAGAAAGCCATTACAAAACATTAGTAGAGAAAACAAGAGTATCAGAGTATCTAATATAAGCAGTTACATGTGTTTGTGAATTGGTCTTTAGTTCCATACAGCCTAGAGACACACTATGAACTTGACAAACCTACAAAATACAAAAACCATGTGACACAACTGCTAAAGGAGACTATGGTAGCAGCCCTTTTAGCATGAAACTAATATATGCACACCACCAGTTAGAACGCATGGCCATTGCACTATACACAAATGATAATTTTTTAAATGTATGTAAGGACAACTGCCATCGAAGACATCAGTGTCACCACTAATGTAATCAGAGACACCTCCCATCGTGAACCAGCATTTGGCAAGTACGGATATGCATCAGGAGGAGGCATCACACAGTTGTCTCCATTGAAATAAATTCTGTGAGGAAATGCCCACCCCTTCTCAAAAGTGAAAGTTGATGCATCCTTCCGGAATAGTAGCTCTGACTGGACATTTCCTGAAGGACCTGCTTGCATGAGCAGATCATTGTAGAATTTCACACCCCATAGCATAGCAGTGTCATCTGTAATAACATCCATAAGGTTAGTCGTATCATTTTCAATCTATCAGCTGATCCTGTAGGTATATCTAGGTACAAAAATTAAGTGTAGTCACAACCAAAGTAATGACAATTCTAGAGTAAATAAAAAATGGAGAAGCAGATCCCATTTTCGGATATCCCACAAATTGTCGCATTCTAAAACTAGATGTTTTCATTCACAAATTACCTTCCAATTTTAGGTGCCTCCGAACAGCTCTTACATAAGGAGATAGTAGAATAAACATGACATACTTCAACTTTGCTTACCATATGTGAAATAAGCTATAGCGAAAATATTATTAGAGGGACCGAAAAACTGCTAATATATCTAATTCACAAATGAAACAATGACAGCTAAATGTCGGAGCATTTACAATCGGATTGAGGACTTACTGATTGATCCATACGGAGTTAGTGACTTGTAATTAAAGCTGAATAATGTAGTGAGGTTGTCAAAGTTCGGATGTTGGACAACTAAGTTCCATTGTGTATAATTCATCCGGTAATTGAAGTTTGTTATAGTGATCTTCACTCTCCAATATTCCTTGTAATTGAGTTTCACATGCCAATGAATCCTAATTGGGCACATATGCTTTGTGCATTGTACCAAAGGAACGTAATTGTTCTTCCCATGGTCTGATACAACTGAAGCTAGGTGTGGCGTTTCTGGACTGCAATGAAGCTTGAGAAGAAAGTAATTAATAAAAACACTTCAATAATAACAATGCTAATTAGAATTGGTGAAAAGAAATTCTGGGTCATACTCTACACAACTCCCACGCTGAGTGCCATTACTCTGACAGCCACAAGTGCACGTCGGGCAGGGCACAATCGTGTCGTTGTAGAAGGATGAGAGGGACACACAACATGTAGGAGTCTTTTGAGCTAGGAACTGTGAGTAAGTGCATGTGACATTCCAAGTCACTGTCAAGGACAACATGAAAGGTTAGAACCCAATCTTCAATAGATTGCAACTGTGTGTATCTTAATGAACTTGACTAAAGTTTGTAAGATTGGCACACAAGTTGCCAATCATAAGAATGGGAACTGCATGTACTTGAGAAAAGTAACTTACTCATAGCCTGTGTCACTCTTCTCCCATCTGCAGAGACGAACTTAGTCGGTTTTACAATTTTAGCAGGTCCACAAGTATAACCAGGCCCTGGAGCCTTTAATGTGAAGTTCTTAGGTACTCGCACTGTTTTATTGGTTGTTCCAGCAGCACCAACACTAATTTGAAATGAGCTAACAGCGTTGGCCGGATCTTGTCCCCATGAGTTGATCACTCCTCCCTTGCAACAATTTGCAATCTGTTGGTTGTAAGGAGTTCCAGGCAGCATGTCAACAACTGTTGGATCTTTCTTACAGCAATGTGGAATATTTCCTTTATATTTTGAACAATCTCCCTGCTCTGTTGTTTGACCTCCCATCATGGTCCATATGACTTCCTTCTTTGCCCATGTCCAGCCCAAACTCCAGCCCGGTGCTTGAATATGCCTATATTGTTGAAAGTTGTACATTGTCACCACAGCCTGTTAACTTCCAAACGGTTAATGATTAGAAGCTTCCAGTTTGAGAAATGCTTATCAGAAGGAAGAAAATAAAGAGAAGGGAGTCAAAAGGGACTGTCAAGCTTAAATGACTAAAACTCTATGTCATGTATGTCAAAGCTATTGAGATGAATAAACTGCATCCAAATTAGCCTCTGCTCTATTGCGTGGAGGTCATCTAAAGATTCATCTAAGGGAGGTCTAAATTATCAATAGATGATCAAGATTACTGTTACTTACCACATATCCATCAGGTGCCCAGCTGATCACATCCCATTTAATAGTAATGTTTCCATTTGGATCAAGTGGATCAAAGGCATCTGGTAGAAAAAGTAAAATGTATTAGTTAAAAACCACCTACACTTTCCTATGCACAGTTATCTCTTGATAACGCAATAGCGATGGGGAAGTGAAGACATGTTTCAGATATAATGTTTAATATTGGTCCACAAAATAGACCAAACAATGAATATGTTTCTCAAGGAAAATATTTTCGGAGAAGATTTTTCTTCATAAACTCTTCTATAAGTCAAATTTTAGTAGAACATGCACAATTTAAACATAGAAATCTTAACCATCATTCTAATTGCAACTTGTTATATAACTGGGCTACCTAAAGTTAAGTTCTGCAATCTCACAATATGAATAACTACAAAGACAAGAAAATTACTAGTATTTTGAGATTGCTTAACAATTCTACAGTAATTTCTAAGTTCATATTCAACCGAGAAACAATTAAATTACAGAACCACTGATTTAAGCATGGGAGTCAACAAATTTCGTTCAATCCTGTGTTTTGGAGAATGCAATGCTGCAAAGAAGAGTCAGATTATATATTTCACGAGATCATTTTTATCATAAAACATGACCATGATACCACAGAGGCTATAACAAAAACTGTTAACCCGATATTTTTGTTCTTTATAGCGAAATTATCACCACAATTAAAATTGCTTCAATTCATGCAGTACATTCATTTTGTACTAGAAAAGACGCTAAAAATCTAATCTTGGAGCTCATTTTTTCCAAGAATAAACCAAATCAACACCCAATGTCCTGTTGCCTAACAAGATTTTGCATGACTAGAAACAGAATACTGAAATTTTCACTTCACAGAGTCCCTTGATACTTGATATATATGTCCAATCATAGCAACAAAGATATAACAGTTACCATTAAAATCAAGTTTTTGATTCTTAAATCATAGATAAACATGCCAATCTCTCAGAAAATAGCCAACAAGAGCAATTTTTTCCTCCCTCAACTAATAGCTATTATCTTATAATTTGTCCAATTAAAAAAAAGTGACTTTCTAACGTAATAATTGCAGACTCTATTTCAATTTATTTATTTTTTAGTCCAAAGAACACGTTTTTCTAAGCATGACATGTTTAATACCAAAAAATTGAAGTATGTTTTTGTGTTCATTTAGTTTAAAACCATACCATTCAAAAGTCTTGTTTGATTTCATAAACTTTGTATCAAATTAAAATCAGACTAACAAATTAAAACGGACGGGGTATTAGTTGAGTAGGAACAGAGAATCAACCCAACCTAAGCAACTAGTAAAATCCAAGTAAATAGTCAAGATAACTAACCTGTTAAATGGAAGCTGAAGGAAGAAAGCAAGAATAGTACAAGTATGGTGGAAGCAAAAAATCTGAACAAGCCCATTTTGGTGTTGTAGCAGCTGTACATTTTCTTGAACATTCTTTTTTTTCTTTTTCTGTGTGCTACGTACTGAAGGGGGTGAAAAAGAAGGACAAAGAGTCAGGTGGCAAGTGGAAGAAGCTAAACAACTCTGAGGCCAAGCTTGTCCATTCCAATAAACTCCACTTTATTCAAATCCTCCTAGATAGTGGTGGTCACTAGTTACCCACTAGCCACTGCAATTAAAATAAAATTCATCTTACTTTCCTATTTATTATTCCGTTTGTTTCAATTCATGTGACACCTTTCAAAATTTGAAAATTTTAACAAGTTTATTTTTAATAATAATTTTTTTATATATCTTATAATTATTTTGAATTGTTAATTACAATAACTTATAACACTTTTTACTTAGTTTATAAACATGTAGATTTCATTTAAAAAAAGTTAAAGATTTTATATGTAAATTTCTGATTAATCTTAAATCGTTTAGCTTTCAAAAAATAAAAAATATCACATAAATTGAAACTATATTAAATTGGGTGTTGGAGATGGTTTGCTTGGGATATAGGCTACATAGTGTTAGGCGAATAAGTGGACTAAAATTAATTAGGGTCTACATACCAAATAAATAAAAAGCATTACATTGTAATTATTTTCCATTTTAAGGTAAGAGAAAACAAAGATGCGCAAGCCAAATTCCAGAATCTCGAGTCCCCTCCATCAAAGAATAATCAGAAAATAGACAATTCTTGGTTAAGTTAATAATTAAAACCCTACCATATACCCAATGTAACAAGATTGGAACCAAGATACTCTTTAGTCTTAAATTATCTTTTTTCGTGTTTCATTTTTTTCTGATAATTAAAAATAAATCACCTAGTATTTTTTATTTCTGCTGAAATTGGACTTGAGATCCTATTAGCTCTCAATACTTCATCAAATTATTGCCCGTCATTTGTCGTGTTTCTCTTTTATCTTTTACTTTTTAAAAAATATTAATTAAGAGTTGTTTTTTATATTATTATATTGTACTTGTCTTAAAATATAATATATCAGTATTCACTCTATTTATGTATAATCTTGAAATGTTTTTAATTTTCAAGAACAATTATATTAAACTTGGAAATACATGCCACAAAACAATTGTTTTTGTATAAATCTCTATATCCTTGATTCTTACTTTCATTTCTTTGTGGGGTAATTGATTTCATACATCAAACTATTGCTATTTTTTTAATTCCTTCTTGAATTTCTATCAATTTATTTTCGTTCGTTAATTAATTTAGTTTCAATTATCCTACTTGGGTGTTATTTCTTTAATTCCTTCTTGAATTTCTATATCTTTATTTTCGTTCGTTAATTAATTTAGTTTCAATTATCCTACTTGGGTGTTATTTCTTTAATTCCTTCTTGAATTTCTATCTCTTTAATTTATATTTTTGAAAATATTATTTGAAGAAAAGTGCAATAAGTAATCTTATAGTTAACGAGACATATCTAGTTATTTCATCTGTTGGTCTCATGAAACCAAACCCATTTGGGTTGAAGTTTGTAATTGACGCAATGCACAAAATGTTGTTTAATTTAACCTCAATTTTTATTTATATTCTTTAATTTTTTATGTACACGAGTAGACTATATAAATTTATATAAAGTTGAATATTTAGATCACATATTCTATGCAGTATAATACAGGTAAGACGCCGTTTATGATGCAAATTGCCACATAGAACGCTTTGTAGGACACATTTGTCTATTTATTCAATTTTATACAAGTTGTTCTTCCATGATGACTCAGTTGATTTGGAGGGTGGTCATTCTGAATCGATTTCCTCTCAATGTCTGCTGAGTCGAGTCTGTCACATAGGGCTTTGCTAGTGTGATTTTACATTTTGTGCACGGTTAATGCACTAGGTTGTGTCAGAGATTGTAGCGGCGGCAGGTTATCTTGAAGTTCCAAAAAAAAATAAAAAATCTTTTATACAAGTCTAAGTGTTGAGTCGTAAATATCTATATGAGTGATTTAATAAGTACTCCCTTTGTCCCATATTAAATGGACATATTACTATAAATACTTGTCCCATATTACTTGATCACAATCAAGTTAAAATTAATTAATTTGTTCTCATTTTACACCTACAATTAATATGACTTTTGGAAGTTTAAACAAATTTTGAAGAGGCTAATTAATATTAACATAGGATAAAATAGTAAAGTTAATCAATCCACACATAAAATAGAAAGTGTCCATCTAATATGAGTCGAACGACGTAGTTTTTAAATAAAGTAATTCAATATTCTTTAAGAAAAAATTAAAAAGGAAAAGGCCAATGCATAAAGACCTAACAACTTCTATGTTTCCAATTCCAAATATTATAATTTCACACAAAACGAATAAACCGATTTAAAAAGTTGGTAATAGAAGGAGGAGAAGCATTATATTGACCATTTGGTCGGTGCTTTTCCTCCAAGAAATTTCTCCGATTACAATTTTCTTTGTAGACTCTCCATTTTCCAATTTGTTTTGCAAAATTTGCTGCAAAAAAAAATAACGACTTGCTTTCTTTCATATTAGCCGAGCTAGGGTTTTGAACAGTTGTATTTTTAATGGAGGTTGCTGGATCTACAAGGAAGCCATTTCAACAAACCGAGATTAACTGGGACAAGTAAGCTTTCTTTGTTGGTAATTTTGATGTTCTTTTTTTTTCGTATCCTAATGATGGAATGATTATGTGTTTAATTATGTAAAATGATGATGGGTGTTTCAGGTTGTTATTAATACGTGTTTGATTATGGAAATTGATATTCGTTTCCAATAATTTAGAGTTAGGAATATAAATAATTTCAAGATTGCGCCTGGGTAGGGTTGTAAATTAGCTGAGATCTTTATGCAGTTATTTTGAGAATTAACCATGAAATGCAAAGGGTGCCATTTGGGACTCATAGTATTTCCTGAGGATGAAATTTTATCTTAGAAAGTGATTTAGTTTGAAATGGGAGTTAATTGTGAGTGGGCATTGCAAAGTGATTTTCCGGCTAAACCAGAGAGGGAGACTAATACTTCGTTTTTACACAATCCTGTGTACTATAAAAGTGACTTGCCTTTGAAATTGAATAGTATGAGGCTTAAACTGTATTCAATATAGATTCTTATTTACATATTTATTTAGTAGACAAAAGGTTCACCAAGACGCTGGAAAAAAAAAACAACAAACATGTTGGAGGTCTCAAGTTTGAAACCCCTTGCCAGCGAAAGCAAGGGGTTTGCCTTCTGGGTCGAGCTCGTCGCACCAGGCTTGCCTAGTGCGGGTTACCTCTCCTATGTGGTTTGCAAGCTATTGCATAGGAGAGGGGGTTTTACCCTGTGCGCACCCAAAAGGTAGTGGCTGTGGGTTTCCTTGTCATCAAAAAAAAAAAAAAAAGACGCTGGAAAAATCAGTAGAATGGAGAATTTTCAGGTTCTATCTCAAGTGGATTTCATGCCTCCAAAGTTCTGTAATCTTTAACATAGATTTAAGTTTCTATTTTATAGGATAATTATTTAACTGTCAAGTAGGATCTGTTTGTGCTGCAGCTTAATCTTTTAATGATGTAGTGGTCTGAAGGGATAATTTCTTTGCGTGTATGCAGGCTTCCTTCTATATATTTAAATCCCTCTTTTTAAGTTTTTCTTTTAAACTTCATGCTTCTCTTTATATCTTCCACCTCTGATGCAGGCTTGATAAGACTAGGTTCTATGTCGTAGGAGCTGGGATATTTACAGGGCTTACTGTTGCACTATACCCCATTTCTGTCATCAAGACTAGAATGCAGGTGGCAACCAATAATGCTGCAAACGAGAGTGCATTTTCTGTTGTCAGGGGCCTAGTGCGAAATGATGGCATTCCCGGTTTATATAGAGGTTTTGGAACTGTCATTACAGGGGCGGTTCCTGCCAGAATTATATTTCTCACAGCACTAGAGACCACTAAGGTGACTGCATTTAAGATGGTTGAACCGTTCAAACTATCAGAACCTGTACAGGCAGCTATAGCAAATGGTGTTGCTGGCATGCTGGCGTCTCTTTGTTCACAATCTGTCTTTGTTCCAATTGACATAGTATGGCCTTTATCTGCTCATTCTTTTTTTTCATTAATAGTGGCATAATGACTTGGATAAGTGGACTGTGAATTAGACATAATTTATTCTCTAGAAATCCACTTATAGCTAGATTAACTATCTGAATAAATCTGGAGAATATTTTCTTAAATTATCAGATTGCTCTTTGTTCTTTTTTGTCATTTACTCGAATTTTCATTAGAACACTAACTACACTTGGCTGAATTGAGCATAGCAGTGTGATTATTTAAGTTGTGTTTCAAAGGTTTATGCTCTTCCTTTTTTTTATTGTTACTACCCTACATCCTACCAATGTTATCAAAGGCGCGCTTTAAGCATGCTTAAGCCCTGAAGTGAGGCTCAAAACATGTTGAGCGCTTCGCCCCGCTTTCTGCGCGCTTCAGCGTCGTCATCAAGATTCTAAGACAAACTTTTCCTTGCCAACGAGCCTCTTATGAAGAAGTGACACTAAACAATTGATATTTCACTTTATCATAAAATTTTTTCAATTTCTTTGGACATATATTTGTCATTCATGTTTATAATTATTAGTCTTGGACTAAACATATATGTTTGTATTTTTTTCTCCCTTTGCGCCTTTTTTCATTGAAGCCCACACTTTATTTACACTTTGCGCTTAAAGCCCCCATGGACCTTAGAGCTTTTTTGCGCTTTTCACCTTTGATAACACTGCATCCTACTGCAGCCAGCCACAATTTGTATATGAGTTTTTTCAAGTTCTGAAATTAATTTCATGAAATTTGATGAAAAAGGTTAGTCAAAGGTTAATGGTGCAAGGATACTCAGGACATGCAAGCTACAATGGAGGCTTGGATGTTGCTCGCAAAGTTCTGAAGTCAGAAGGTATTCGTGGACTATATAGAGGATTCAGTCTATCTGTTCTAACATACTCTCCATCCAGTGCTGTATGGTGGGCAAGTTATGGTTCAAGCCAGCGCTTCATTTGGAGGTTAGATGATAATGCTGATCTTTCAAAATTCATTAAGAGTGGACTTTGTCCCTTTCCTCCCATTCACTTTCTTGTTATGCCCTTGAATTGGGTTGCATCGTCAAGTATTTTTGTTCTACAGATTTCTATTGGGTAATCCTTTTGTGACTTTATCATTGCTTGTGGTGTCTATCAGCAAGCTCTTGGATAATGGAACTGAGCATGGTGGGCCTGCTCCCAGCCAGGGGAAAATAGTGTCAGTTCAAGCTGCTGGTGGGATCATTGCCGGTGCTACTGCATCTTGCATAACAACTCCATTGGACACCATTAAAACTCGGTTGCAGGTATTACCTTTGGTTTCTGTTATGAACTCTGTTGCTTGTATCTATCTTTAAAATAGCTACTGCTTTTTCTGCATTTTTCAAAATTTTCCGTACTGTTTACGCTTGATTATATTCATGTGCCCGTCTTGGATGTTTCTCCTTTTTCCTTATATGTTTACTTGGATGGCTGTTCCCTTCTTTCATGCTCTCTGAAGGCTTATGCTGCTCGGACTCTTCAAAAATCCCGTTGGGTGCGCGTCGGATCCTGCAAAAGTAGTGGATTTTTGGATGATCCGGCAAGAGTGCGGCAGAGGTTTAGAGAGTCCGAGCAACATACTACTTGCAACTATACTATGAACTTTGGTAGCTGCTCCCTTTTAGATGGTTTAGGTGTTCTTTTTGTTTTCTATGTGCAGATGGTTGCACACAATTGTGCATTAGTAGCTGCTTTTTTCATCTGTATAGAAATTGTTGATATTCTGTTTTCCCTTTGGTGGTCAGATACATAACTGTGAGTGTTGACAAACAATTCCTATTAAAACTCTAGCCTAGTTTGTTGTCTTGCATGTCGTGTAATTAGTCTCAGCTTCGAGTCTTGTTATTTAAGGACCTTCTTTTTCATGCATTACAGGTGATGGGACACGACAAGAGACCTACTGCACGGCAAGTAGTTAAGCAGCTAATTGCCGAGGATGGTTGGACAGGATTTTACAGGGGATTAGGTCCAAGATTTGTCAGCATGTCAGCGTGGGGAACCTCCATGATACTTGCCTATGAATATCTCAGTAGGGTCTTTAACCTCTTCTTCTCTTTCGTTTACTTTTAACTACTTCATGAGCAATATGTCATAATATTTGGAAGTCCAAGTGTCATCTTCGAACCTAACATGGTGCTGTTATTAATGTGTCCAATTGAATCAAACTGGTAGGTCTTCCACTTGATTTAATCAGTAACCTTGGCTTCTTATGTGATTCTTTTTCCAAGTTTATATGGGACCTTTGTATTCACGTTATTCTGATTTTGTGATTGATCTTGTTATGTCTCATGTCACTAGCTATCATAACTATTACATTTACCTATAAAATTGAGGCTTTCCTGTTCTTAATGTTTCATTATCAGTTTTATCAGATTCTGTGACCAATCTGTTTCCCTACTGATTCTGTGTCTATAAATCTGGTTTGTTATAAAGAGGTGTATGCCTGCTCTATCAGACTTCACTTGATGCAAGCTGTTTTACCTGAATTAGACGTTCACAAGAATGTCCTTTGTAGCATAGTGAGCAAACAATAAAATCCAGTTGGTACTCAATTTGTGACAAATAACTTTAGCATATTTGTAAAGGAGATAAGCTCCACTGGTCTAGTTCTTGATTCTAGCAAAAAAATAACTTCTAACTGATGCTCCATTTATGACAATATGATTGCCAATTAATCAAGAGAAAGAGCTCTATTGTTAAAATTCTTAAGTGTCATGCTTTCAGGTTCTGGAAATAACTTAGATGGAATACGCTACTACTATACTATTTTCTTAACATGAAGATATGAAAACTTGTTTAATATTTTTTCCTGAAACTTGATTTTTTTTTGTTGGCAGAGCGCTTGTGTGCAGTAAACGAATAGATTGATGAAAGCTAGCTGCCAGACGACTCTTGCGGTAGGGTTTTTATACTACTGACATACAGTATTGAGAGCTGGAGATAACAAGACTGCGGCTGATTAGCTGTCTGTATACAAATGACACTATGACGGTGTTATATGAGTTGACTTGGAATCCAAGTACCTGGCCAAAATACAATTAATTTTCTTAGGGATTTCTCACAATATTCTTAAATGATTTTTGCCAGATAAATGCTACATTCATTGGTTGTAGTGAGTCGCTACAAGGAGGACGAAGGACGTATCCTTGAATAATTTTTGCCAGATAATAAATGTAAAATGTAATATTCATTCATACAAGAATAGATAAATGCTTGATCAACTTCATTTTTCAAGGCTTTATATTTGTTGATTTGATTTCTTTCCAAAAATTTAGATCCCTTCTTTTTATACTTGTCTATGTATCCAGAATTGCCCGATTGTACTAGGTCTGCATGTCAATCCATGTAATTGACATTTTTTCGCTAGTAATTTACATATTTTAGTTAGTAATGCAAATAGATTGTAATTGCCATGATGTTTATTCCATCAAAGAGGAGCATTACCTGTTTTGTATAAGTGGACACAAGGGGTTCCATGAACAATAAGAATGATAACTAAAACTCTCATTACTGTCGTTGCACTAACCATCTTGACAACTGATCATGAAAACTTAATAATTTAAACACTCTTAATTGTCTGCAGATCTTGTTAAACATTTTGGACATCATGATTCTTGGGCATATTTCAATGGCTTTTGACATCAGTGCACACTTAGTTTATCTTACAGTCAGAAGACTGAACAGAGAAGATTCAAATCAATGTAAAGGCTGCCTGCATCACACAAATATTGGAGTTGCAAACGCTCAGCCAGCCAATTCAGCCTTGAGATAATTTCACGGGCCATCAAGTTCCAAAAAACCAAAGACCAATTACTATGAGTAAATTGACCAACAGAACATCAATGCTCTTACATCACATTATGAAGCAACTAGCAAGCTGTCTTTTTAGCTGAATTACATTAAATAGGCTTAAGAATCTATTTTACTCTAGATTACACTCTCAAAACTCTTCACTAGCTAACAAATATGAAATGGAAAAGGAATGGAATAGTGTGTTGATCTCACTCTCTGTCCTTTACTGTAGAAAGGGGGGTAAACCAAACAGCCTGTATCAATTGTGCCGAATAAATTCACTTTTCTCCAAAGCGGACAATACAAATGAGCTAGTGTGCATCAAACTAGGGACCATGAAGAGAGATCTATAAAGGGCCATATGGGATTTATTCTCCAAATTGCGCATCTCAAATAACTTGATCTTCATCTTCATCATCATCCTCATCATCATCATCATCACGGCTTACCTCCGCATATTCCTCAAGTGATGATGCTGTATTCAGTTCACCAACCTTCATGTCATCTTGAGTTAGGTTTTTCTCTGAACTCTGTGACTTCCCTTTGTTCATCTGTTGCATAGACATAAGATGCACACTAAGAATCTCAGAAACATCATGAAAGCAACATAATCATACAACAGACATCAATGTGATGGAACTCCAGCAAAGCAAGATACTTTTACACTGCTTAGCACAGTAGATATCACAAATGGTAAATGGGAAATGAAGGAGTATTTGCAACCTGGTAATACATAAAGAAGATGGAGAGTTAAAAAAAAGAGGAGGATGTCATGTGGGCTTATACTATCAAATGGTACAATTAGATAGTAAATAAATATGAGAACGTGAGAAGTAAATCAACTGTCCCCTTCCCATTCATTGAACCAACCAATCGTTACATATAGACATTCACTTCTCAAATTCCATTTCATGGCTCATGGAGACGTACTCTTTAATGGGTATTATGCAATTAAAAGTAGCCAGCAGGACAGTGACTGCTGTAGTCTGCCACGTGTTCTTTTCAATTATTGGCATCAGTTGGACACTACCTCAGGGTATCAAGGAAGCAGTTGAAAAATGGTACTTTTGGAAAGTCAACAGGGCCATCAAGAGTATCAGGAAAATTCTCCCAGCTAGCATATTCTGGTGTATTTTGACAGAACTTCAGATGTTTTGATGGCATTTCAGCTCCTATATACCCTTGAAAGCTAGATGTCTGCTGTTTCTTTTTAGTTGGAGTAATCTCTATTGAAATTATGTTTATTCCCTTTCTAGACTTCATTGGCTCACTGTGCCTGGCTAAACTACCATTTTCATTTTTTGGTTAGATTCCAGTGTTTAGTATAGAAATGCTGTATTTGGAGCTAACATCCCATCTTTGTACTTTTTGCATCTTCTTGATGCCAAGAGAACATCTTACTTGATCAAAAAACGTTTTGTTCAGCTTTAAAAATCAACTTTAAGCATAACTACTACTCCATATGTACCACATAAGCAGACAATCCAACATCCAGAGAACAAAAATATGCTTATGCGTACAGACAATAAATGCACTAACCCTCTTCCAACTATTTTCAATCCACTCCAGGAGAAACAAATAGAAGAGAATCGGGTAGATCCAAAATAGGTAAGAATGAAAATGACCATTAACAGTCATCTACATCATTTGTATTTGCAAGAACAAGGTGACGTACAATTTACATGTTAAAGTTGGTTTTCATCTGACATACAATATTTGAGAGACCGGCATTTGGGAGGATTATAACATTCAAAATTATGCTAAATATTGTTCCCCCCGTTTCAATTTGTTTAACTGGTTTTGACTTGGTACGGAGTTTAAGAAAGTAGAGTCTTGTGGTCTTGAACTAAACATATGTAAAATGTACCAAACTAAAAATAGCCCATGTGCACACAAGGTGCTCAAGCACCATTGTTATTAAGAAAAACGAAAAACAGACAAATGAGCCAGTGTAGAAACTAGAACACCTGATAATTGTTTGTCTAACACACATAGCATGAAATTGGCTTTTCTATCTAGCCATAAATATTTTCTTATTGAATAATTGCCATTGTGGGTCGAGTTTGGGGTTGGGGGCGATCTAGCAACAAGGACAAGACAGGTCTCCCATACAACATTTATCATAAAGTTAATTCAGCAGAAAATTCTCTTACAGCACGTAGAAGTGACCGCCTATCCCGTTCTCGAGCATTCTTGATAGCCTGTAACCAACAATAATACATTAGATTCATAGGTTGACAAATGGACCCGCTGATCATAAAGATGACAGAGAAGCATAAGGATAAGGCTATGAAAACAAACCTCCTCAAGAGCTTTTTTCTCAGCCTCTACTTCTGAAACATCTCTATGAGAAACCAATAATAAGCATATGAGATGTCTTCCACAAACAATGTTCATCATTTAAATTGAAGCAAAATAAAGATTCAATAAATTGAGAAGAGAAGGGGGAAAAGGAGGAATCTTTAAACCTTCCAACCACTTGACCAACACGACATGAACACTTGGCACATACTTTATGCTCCTTTGCACAGCCTGTGATTTTACAAATAAATGCAAAAACATCAAACAAAAACTACATAGATTTCAATAAGGCATAGAGGATTTCATTATGTTGTAACAAAAACAACTTCGCCTCAATCCCAAAATAAGTTGGGGTTGGCTATATGAATCCTCATTTCACCATTTAAGTTGATATCATATTATTTCATTATACTATAACAAATACATATAAAATAGAATAAATCATATGTAAAAGAAGTCAAAACTAACCATTGCAGAGATTGTGGTAAGCTTGACGCACGTTTCTTTTCGAACACTTCTGACTATCAGAAATATAAAAAAAAAATTGAAAAAAACAGGAGCATAAGTCAGTGACTGCTGAGTACCATGGTTCACTAATTTCAATGAACATAGTATAACTATGTACTATAGAAATTTTAACCAGCTATATATGCGTTTCGCTAACCTCGAACATTTTTATCTTCTACAAATTACCCTTAAAACAAACTAAAATTAGGCATCTTTAGAAACTGAAAAAACTTTTGATAGCTAATTTAACCAAAACAAAATAAAATAAAATTGAGAAGTAGAAGTTTACCACTTAGCAGGTTCAGTAATGGCTTTGTATTTTCCATACTTGCGCTTCCAATCAATTTGATCTCTACAACGAAGACATACTCCTGTTATTTCTGAGAGAGGCCTAAATTTTCCACCCACTTCCTGCAAATAAAAGCAACACCAACAATCAATCGTTCAGACCCACAAAAATCTTGACTAAAAGTTTGGTCGCCGGAGAATAAAAGTAGACGTACCGTTTCATTGATTTTGATACCGGCGTTAGGTTTCCAGGCGACTTTGTTCTGATGCTTCGGCGGCCCTTTTCTTACGCCGTTCATCTTTTTCTCTTCAAAAAGTTTGAGCTCCCTTCAATGTCTTGTTTTTTTGATGGAATAACAACGAACATTGACTGGACTGTGGAATCGAATTATTGGGCTAAAGAAATATGACGTTATTTATTTTCTTGGGCTAATTTTGGATGTAGCCCATGGACTTGCGTATCACAAACGGCCCAAAATCCATGTATGTTCTGCTCTTTAAATAGGTTGATTCGCTTTTTTTTTTTTTTTTGAGCAAATTTTAGGAATATCAAACATAAAAATTAGCGCTCTATAACTACAGTTTTGATATTTGCGCTTCATAGCAAACAACATTTGTTTTGTATAAATCGCAGGCATCTGATTCACATGACATCTAATTTGTATAAAATCACGGCGATTGTATATGCATATCGGTTAGATAATTGTAAATATGTAACTACTATGTATATGCATCAATGATTGTGTTTGTATATCTGCATAAAATTTAAATTTGTGTACAATTGATTTGAGTTAAAACATGTGTATTTGTATATCAAATCTCTCTTTCTCCCGCTTTATACAAACACAAATTATACATTGTATTTTGTATAATTTATGTTTGTATAAAGCGAGAAAGAGAGAAAGACAAAAGAGAATTGAGAAGGGAAAGATTTGTATTTGTATAATCATAAGTGTATAGGACGAAAATATATGTATTTGTATTTGTATATATAGTTCTCTCTCACTTTGTACAAACACAATTGTATAAAGTGAGAGAAGCTAGCCAGAGAGTGACGAGCGAGGTTCCAGAGAGTGGCGAGCGAGATTCAGAGGAGAGAGGTGAATGGCAAAAAGTTTGTTGAGAATTGAAATTAAATGAAACTGTAGTTATAGCGTTTATTTTGAATTAATCGTTTGCTATAATGCACAATTTTCCCTTCTTTATTTTTGTACTCTAATAATAATATTAGGCATAAGTAAGTCATGTTGGGAATAATTTGTGGAATATTGTGATACAAAAATTAATGAGTAACTTTTAGGAATAACAAACATAAAAATCATATTAGCGCTCTATAACTACAATTTCGCTATTTGCACTCCATAGCAAACTGTTTGCTATGAAGCATTTGATTTGTATAAATCGCTGGCATCTAATTCGCAAGCATCTGATTTGTATAAAATTGTGGCGATTTGCATAAATCAGATGTATGTGTATGAAAATTGCGTTTGTATATGTATATGTTCTTTGTGTTAGGCTAGAGTGCGAGCAAGATTAGGATAGAGGCGAGCGAGAGAGGGCAGAGAGTGTAGAGAGGTGAATTATATATGTATATCGGTTAGATAATTGTATATATGTAACTACTATGTATATATATATATCAATGATTGTGTTTGTATATCTGCATAACATTTGAATTTGTATACAATTGAATCGAGTTAAAACATTTGTATTAGTATATCAAATCTCTCTCTCGCTTTATGCAAACACAAATTGTACATTGTACTTGTATAATTTGTGTTTGCATAAGCGAGAGAGGCGAGAGAGAGAATTGAGAGTGGCGAGCGAGATTCAAGGGAGAGATGCGAGAATGGCAAAGTGTTTGCTACAAATTAAAATTAAATGAAATTGTAGCTATAACATTTATTTTGAGTTAATAGTTTACTATAATGCAAAATTTTCCCAAAATTAAACGTATGCCTTGCAAAAAAATAATTATTTGTTATAAGGAGCATAAATAGAGATAAAAAAAATGGGCAAAAATGTAAACGCCCTCAATTTTTTTTTCCTCTTCTTTTCTTGTATGTATAATTACAACCTCGAGTTGGGAACTTGGGATTCTTGTGAACTCGGCTTGTCATTTGTACACTTGTAACCGTAATGTAATTTAATTTGTTATTATAGATTATTTACTTTTTTTTTTTTTGATGATCATATTTGGTTCAAATTATATACTTCTATTTATTTTAGTTTGGTCACTTTTATTAACAAGCGGTCAATCTCGATGTCTTTAATCTAAAACAGTCACAAAAGACAGGTTGGAAAATAAATGGTCAACCAATTTCAAGTTGTATTACTTTTCTAATGTACTACCTCATATTACAAGTGATTTAAGAAATATTTTTTATAAGACATTCCATAAAAGAGTTGACGTCGTCAAACAATGGGGTTATGAAATGGGGGCTATGTATGTACCCATTAAATTGCAAAAAGAAGCTGAAAAACAAATTAAAATACATGTAATTTCAGTGTATCGAACTATGATCATAACAATTTCATCGACCCAATGGAGTGACAATCTCAGAGAAAAGGGCAACATTGTTCACTTTGGCACTCCTACTGACCGACATGGATATACCATTGCTTGTCAATTTTCTTTCAACTTCACTTAAATCTGAGAATATCTCATCTTCATTCATAGCATCACCATTAATAATCAACGGAAAAGAGGATCCTTCCACCTCATGACCCTCTTGAAGCTGTAATGCAAATTCTAAAGTTTTTACAACATCACCCATTGATGGCCTTTGAACCCCTTCTTTTCTCAAACAATGATATGCCAATTCTGCAAACTTGCTTAAGCATTCTGGGGCTATTTGTCCTTTCAAGTTAGGATCAATGATTTCTTCAAGTTCTCTCTTTTTACAACTCCTACTAGCCCACTCAGCCAAATTCACTTGCCCACTTGGCAAGTTTGGATTTATTGCCGGTCTAGCGCATAACACTTCAAATAGAACCACCCCAAAAGAATAAACATCTGATTTTACTGTCAATCGTTGGTGCTTGTAGTATTCAGGATCTATGTACCCAAAACTTCCTTTCACCGCAGTGCTAACATGGGTAATATCTGTCCCACCTACTGAACCTACTTTGGACAAGCCAAAATCGGACACCTTGGCGACCCATTTATCGTCCAATAGGATGTTAGTTGACTTGACATCTCGATGAATGATCGTGTGTTTGGTACCTATAACAGCAAAATGAACTCACTTTTAAGCAATTCACTCAAATTTAAACGAATTTGATTCTGAATTGCTTGTTGGCTTGACATATTAATGGATTAAACTCGAAATGACCCATCAATCTATTGAATCAAAACATGTCAAAATGCAAATAGAACATACAAAAAACCAAATTGGGAGGTTGAGTCATGCTGTTTAACTTGACATTGATCGTTATTTGACCTATTCTGACCCAATACTTTTTTTAACCAAACAAATATAGTGCAAGTTAGATCATGACATGTTTATCAATTTATTGATTACTTACCTGAATGAAGGTAATATAATCCTTTAGCTGCACCAATGCAAATGTCAAGGCGTTTCTTCCATGGAAGAGGAGCATTGTCAGTATTGTACAAGTGATCACGGAGGGTACCATTAGCCATGTAATCATAAACCTAGATCATCTCATTCTTATCATCACAATAACCAATTAAGGACACTAGATGTCGATGCCTTAGTTTTGATGATAACATCTCAATCTCTGTTTGGAACTCGCGAATCCCTTGCTTTGATGAAGGATTCGATCTCTTGACTGCAACTGTGGTTGTGCCATTGTCAAGGTACCCTTTATAAACATTACCAAAGCCTCCATATCCAATCACAAATTTTTCATCAAAATTGTCGGTAGCGTTTTTTATCTCTGCTATTAAAAAGTGTCGGCACAGATCGGATGGTGGTGATGATGACTCGGTAACACTTGTACCAGAATCTTTTCCCCCATTTCGTCGTCGGGAAATTAAGAAACCCAGAATCGAGAAAAAAGCAATACCGCTAGTCACACCTGTGATGATAGCAACAATGATATGCCATGATATTCTTTTCTTCTTGTTGTTGGGAAAAGCTAATGAAGCGATCGGAGCTTCTGAGGGCAATTCATGAATTGACGCGGCCAGACTCCCAATTGCACCACCCAATTTGAAAATTTCTAAGCCATTTAAGATAGCACTTGAATATGCTGATCCTAAGGTAGCATCAGCATACACAGCTTTTGTTTCCATGTTAGGACTCAATTCAAGCGTAATATTTTGTTTGTTTCGTCGGCCGTCTGGGTTAGTCACATTCACCACGTAGTCTCTGTAAACCGGGAATCTCCAGCCGCCACTCCATTCAACTACATCCGCTGCTCGCTCTGCCATTTGGTTTCCAATGTATATGTCGAAAATCCTGTAGTTCACTTCCTTAACTTCCGGCTGAATCTCACAAAAATGGAGCCTGAAAAGATAATAGAAACCAGAGTTTAGAGGGAATTCCCAAGCCAGGCTCTGGCTGTGATTGGCCATAGTCCTAGAGGTTGTGTAAACTATCCTCGGCGCAGAATAAACCGGGGTTTCAGAAGTGTAAGTGATGTTGACATCAAAATGAGGAGTTTGATAGCCATATCCAACAACAAATGCATCATCTGAATCCCATACACGATACATCCCTGTATCCTCTGTGCTACCAACTGAATTGCCTCCCACGTTCAGCCTGTACAAAATTTCAAGAGCAGTGCTGTTATTTATGTAATAAAAATCATTCTGGCCCACCAATTCGATGAGATGGTCTCCACGGATGTAGAGATTGGTAGGCATGGAAAGTATCTCTATCCCATTAACAAAAGCATAAGAGTTTGGCGAGGGAGAAAAGGTCACATTAAGAATCTGAGTTTCATCAACATTAATGACAAATTCTTTTCGAAGAGCTTTACTAGAATCGGTAACTGCAACGAGAGCGCTGAAGTTACTCAAGAGGGTTAAATGATTAGCTGTGACGGAGAAAAAAGATTCAGCTTTGTTGAAGCCGGAGTAATTGGCGGGGTAAAAATAGAGACGGAGGAATTTGGCACCAGGGGAAACACGGAAAGTGTAAGTGAATTGAGATTTCATGATACGAGCACCAGTCGTATAAGGAACTCTATTGACTGAAGAATGCTTTTCGGATGGTGTGGCTGTTGTGGATATGCTTGAGAAGTTGGAAGGTAAGAAATTTGGGAAGTAGGTATCAAGATCCCATTGACGGTCATCAGTTTCATCGATGGTGGCTGATGGTGCGCCACAGTTGAGCAAGACATAGACTCTGGCATTATACGAAATAGTGGCCGTTATGAGTCGTG